TTTGTCAAGTTTACGTTGTCCATTCCTTTCAAAATCGTAATTTTTTTGCGATGTTTAAGCGATTTCTTTAATTCCACATTCAAAATATTTATGATCTCATTATTGCCACATATTAATGGCTCCTTCTCTTTTCGTATATCAACGTTATATTTCACTAATGTTTGAACTATGTCGGTATGACCTTCCAGGCATGCTATACGTAAGGGAGATTTCAATTTCCAGTTATTCACGTCTTTAATTGCTCCATGTTGGAGAAGGTAGTCAACAATTGACGCATTCCCACCTTCACAAGCTAGAAATAAAATTGTGGGCATGTCAAGATTTTCTTCGTTTGTTAGTTCAGCACCATGTTCAACTAAATATTTAACCATTTCCAATAAACCAAACTCAACAGCATTCTGAATCACAGGTTCAATATTATTCCACCAACTTTTACAGTTTATATCAGCGCCATTTTCAACTAAATATTTGACAATTTCCAGTGAACCAGATGATGTTGCAGAGTGAAGAGGACTTCCTTCAAATGCATTTTCACAATTTACATCAGCACCATGTTCAACTAAATATTCGACAATTTCCAGTGAACCAGATGATGTTGCAGAGTGAAGAGGACTTCCTCTAAAACCTTTTACACAATTTACATCAGCACCATGTTCAACTAAATATTTGACAATTTCCAGTGAACCAGATGTTGCAGAGTGAAGAGGACTTCCTTTATGATGATTTTCACAATTTACATCAGCACCATGTTCAACTAAATATTTGACAATTTCCAGTGAACCAGATGAGGCTGCATAGTGAAGAGGACTTCCTCTACATTCTTTTTCACAATTTACATCAGCACCATGTTCAACTAAATATTTGATAATTTCCAGTGAACCAGATGATGCTGCAGAGTGAAGAGGACTACCAAGATAATCATTTTTACAATTGACATCAGCACCATGTTCAAGTAAATATTGGAAAATTTCCAGTGAACCAGATAATGTTGCAGAGTGAAGAGGACTTCCTTTAAAGTCATTTTCACAATTTACATCAGCACCATGTTCAACTAAATATTTGACAATTTCCAGTGAACCAGATGAGGCTGCAGAGTGAAGAGGACTTCCTTTACGATGATTTTTACAATTTACATAAGCACCATGTTCAACTAAATATTTGAAAATTTCCAGTGAACCAGATGAGGCCGCAGAGTGAAGAGGACTTCCTTTATTATGATTTTCACAATTTACATCAGCACCATGTTCAAGTAAATATTTAACAATTTCCAGTGAACCAGATGTTGCAGAGTGAAGAAGACTTCCTTCAAAATCATTTTCACAATTTACATCGGCACCATGTTCAACTAAATATTTGACAATTTCCAGTGAACCAGATGATGTAGCAATGTGAAGAGGACTTCCTTCAAATTGATCTTCACAATTTACATCAGCACCATGTTCAACTAATCGTTTTACTTCATCAAAATCTCCTGTTATCGCTGCGATCACAAGTTTCGACATATTTACATACCTGTAAAAACAAAGGTAATTATGTAATAAATAGACGTGAATTTTTTTATTTATAGATCATTACGAGACTAAGAACACTGGTATTATTATCGGTATATTGGTGTTATAGCAAAATGTAAATTAGAATATTTTAATTTCTGATACTACTATGCTTCATTATTATGCTTCGGATTATTGTTTGAAATGCTCTATTGCTCGATGGCATGTGTATAGAAATCAATGTTCGTCAAAGACTATTACTGTCCTATTCACATTTTTTCATGTTACATGTTATTATTTGATGTTAGTGGTAATCAATATTTTGCGAAGCCAAACGACTAACAAATAATAAAATAATACTGTAAAACTTGCCATGGCCAGAAATGGAGGACAGAAGCGGTCAGGCGTGCGGGCTCACGTTCTCTTGATAATTCAGTGCACTATACAGATCAGTGGTTTAGTTTTGGAAATACAAAATTGCTGTTCCATCTTTACTAGTATGGCTCCGTGATTTTTACCAAGAACTAAATAATCTGAGCACGCCAGATTTTTATATTGAAAATAAGAAGAGATATGCTATTTCAACACTTAAAGCAAAGTTGGAAATCAGTCCAAAATCCGCAATTCTGAAACTTTGTCAGAATAAAGTCTAGCACATGCCTGATTGAACGACCTACCTTATTTTCTTGGAAAATTAAAATTTTTAATTTGAGGTACCTTTACTTTAATACCCCCATTTTTGCCTGTCAGAGCCGGAAGAAAGCCCAAATTGAAAAATTGCTCAAAAATCACCGAAAACATCAACGTATATTATATTGGTCTATGTTGTTAACACTCATAACTGCTTGCAGGAATAATGTATTTGGGAGAAGTTGGCAACATATTCTTGAAATAAATTGCGTTGAAATGCGACTCATTTTTTCTCATATTTGCAAGATCCGCAAGTATGCTTCATTTCACGGTTTATTTCTCGAGTAGTAAAATGGTTTTGTGCTATTTGCTTAGTTTCCTTAAAAGTACTAAGATTAGTGTAGATTTTGGCATAAAAATCTCCGCGGGCAACAATTTTTACTTTTGGAAGAAAACGCCTGAAGTATCCCTAAAATACGCCTTTTTCTTGAGAGCTATCTCAACTACTTGCGTGAGAGATCGATGACGAGTCCAAAAATTTCAAATAAATCAGTGATGATAACAAAAAGAAGTTAATAATACATAATTGTCTTCTTAATTTTAGAAGTGACATGTTTTTGAAAAATCTTTTCAATCATAACGCTCTTTAATTAAAACAATATCACACATATACCGGCCCTGCATGACTCAGTCTGTGTTTTAGCAAACACAGCGTACTTCTCGTTGGAGGAAAACAAGTTTTTGAGTTCGTTTTCCTTGACAAATTTAAATTTCCACTTTAAAGCTTCCAATTTCAGTTATTAGTGCCTCGAGGAATTTATACTGCACCCACCTTTATTTAGTAATTTTTTCAGCGAGTTATTTTTTTGCTAGAAACCGTGCTCCATTAAATTTTGATTTGAAGCAACGTAGTTATTTTGTTTCTTGCAATCGTTCGTAGGAAAGTCAACCGAACCGATGAAATTGTAGTGTACACAGATCATTCGCGCGCTGCGGAGAAAATATAACATCATGGTTGTTTTTCTTAAAATCGAAGTATTACTGTACAATATCTAAGTCATATGTAAAAGTATTAATTCGATTTGTGTCATTCAAATGATCCTGGCCTGAATTTCGCACAATTCAATTTTCGCTCACGCAAAACCCACCGGAAAATCAAGTTCATAAAAATAGATCGCACAACAAGTACACAATCTTGCATTGCAACGCTTGTTATTAAACATTTTTGCTAAATTAAAGCAAATTAAAAACTTTCCAAATAGACAAGTGTGGAATAGGGACGGGACTGAGTGCGGTTCGATTTCCTTAAAAGGCTCTGAGGTAAGCGAGTTTCAATTGCTAAATACGTGCCAACGCGATGTAACTGGCCATTTAAAAATGTTGAACCTCCGTGGAGAGGAAATGTCTTCAGAGAAAGAGTTGATATTGCTGAGGGCAGGTGAGCTAGTAAAATTTGTTTATATATAACACTCTGATTTCTCTTATTAAATCATGTGCAATTTATTTAGGCATATTTGAGGGATTCGCTGCCGCGAATTTTATGGTATGTCCAAAACATCGACAATCCTTTGATATTGGTTGGCGAGGGCGGAAAAAAGAATTGTCAAGTTCCAGCGTCTGTTGCATCTCACCGCTTTAAAAAGCATACTGGTGACCGATCAGTAAATCAGGAAATGTCGGAGAAAATATTACTGGTGACCGATCAGTAAATAAGGAAATGTCGGAGAAAATATTCCACCTAACTGGATTGGTAATACCTATCGGATCAGGTATACGTATACCTTCCGTATCCGGCCGTGGTTTTGGGTTGCAGAATAATACTTGGGTGTGTTGGAAGGGGACGGGAAACAAATGAGTCATGCATATCAATCATCTTTTTTTTCATTGACTTGGTGAAAACATGTCAATCATAAACATCGTAAACATATCAATTAAGTCCAAAGAATAGTATTCGCTTCCACAAGACATGTCGCGCCATAACCCACAACAATACTAGTTCATGCATAATTAGCAATGATTGAGGTTAAGCATGAAAAATTATCAAGAATTATCAGCCTACCTCGTCCCAGGAAGATACCTCAGATGACACCAGCAGTCAGGCAATGTGTGGAAGTGGTTTTCATCCACCAGATAAATCAGCTGATAACGATAAAGAACAGCATTGGAGCGATTCATGGATCTGAGTGCTATTGGGCCTCCGGGATCCATTTTGGAGCGCGCTTGGAAATGTGCCACTACAAAAACACAAGATCACTACACTTGCAAAGCAAGCGAAATAATCGCAAGCTTCATTAAGATGACAGCTCCAGATTCCGCTCCGGAATTGTGGGAAGCAGTAAGGACAAAGGGCAAATTAAGCCAGTTCCTTCAAATGCCAAGACCTGACAATGACCTGGTGCAAGCAATAGTAGAATCGTATAAGCTAGCGGAAAAGGCCGGCAGAGACTAGGCGACAACTTCTCAGCATTTGTGCCAGTAAAGTAACGTATTCAGAGCTTACTGCACATATTGCTAAGCTAACAAAATACGAGTTCACTGCGGCAAGACGGTATGCACTTGAAGTTGGCGCAGGAATCCCTGTTTTAGCACCTTCCGTGAAACAAACAAGAGAAAGGGTGGATGCTACAAAGCTAGAACACTTCCTTGACTTCATAACGATATAGCTAGTACAAGACAATATAGCTAATACAAGATCTCCCCTTTGGTAGGAGAACTCTTACGTTAAGCAGCGGTGAGAAGATCGATATCCCTAATGTCATACGAACGATGCTGCCTTCCCATCTCATCAGACTATGCAACCAGTACTGCAGCGAAGAATACTTCATTCCACTTTCTACCCGCACCCTCTTTCGTATCTTGTCTGAGGCTTGCGTGGCCTCAATGAAAAAGAGTTTACAGGGCTTAGATAGTTATGCAGAGGAGGGCGGGCGTGGTTTTGATGAGCTAATTTCCCTCCTGGATACGATGATGCAGTATGGTGCTAACGATCCTGAAATGCACAAGCTAAAGATCAGTCTTAAACATCTCAAACAGTACATCAAAAGTGATTACAAGGTATGTTTCCGAGTATTTCATACCGCCTCTTAATAGAACGTAACCACATGCCTCTTTTCTCCGCAGATCCATTTTCGATCCATGGTTAGTTCTGTACCTGAACATTGACGATAAATTGAAATCTGAGGCTTTTAATGATTTCTTTGTCAATATCGGGGCAAAACTTGCAGCTGAAATTGAAGATAATTCCCTCAACACAAATTCTTTTGCTCGCGGAGATTCTAGGCCTACTACCGACTCCAATCTTTTTTTCAAATTTTCTGAAATTAACGAGGACGAAGTAACATATCAATTGCGTAGTCTCAAAATTTCAAAATCCACAGGATTAGATAACATCCCTGCTAAAGCCCTTAAAATATCCGCGGACATTGTTGGTCCGCCATTAACTTGGATATTTAACCTTTCGATCAAAAAAGGAGAATATGTGGATGAATGGAAAAAAGCCTGAGTTACACCCATTTATAAATCTGATGACAGGTTGAAATGCGAGAATTATCGCCCTATCTCGATACTACCCATTGTTAGTAAAATACTTGAGAGATGCGTTTTTAATCAAATTTATAAATTTCTTAATGACAATTCACTTCTTTCAAAACATCAACATGGTTTTCGACCTAAACATTCAACTCTCACCGCTCTAACTCAGGTGTGCGATACTCTTTATGAAAATATGGATAATGGTCAATTGAGCGGCATTGTTTTTCTTGACATTCGTAAAGCCTTCGACTCAATTGATCATAATATTCTGCTTTATAAATTAAAAGATCAATTCGGTATATCGGATATTGAGTTAAGATGGTTTGAGTCTTACTTAAATAATAGGGAGCAAGTCTGTATTGTTAATAATTCAATGTCATAGTCAAAACGGATTGTTTCTGGGGTTCCGCAGGGATCTATTTTAGGTCCACTGTTATTTTTACTCTATATCAATGACCTCCCCGAATGCCTTCAAAAAACTACTCCTTATTTATATGCTGACGATACCCAAACTTGCTGCAGCTCTAACAGTTTGATTGAATTAACCGAAAACCTTAATCACGATCTGAGTAGAATCGGTGATTGGCTTTCTAGAAATAAATTACAACACCACCCAACTAAGACCATAATAATGTTCATTGGCTCTAAACATCATATTAATTCCACAACTTTTGATCATCCAGTGATGTTAAATAACCAACGCATCCCCAGAGTTCACTCTTTCACATGTCTTGGTCTCGATTTAGATGAAAATCTTAACTGGAATTCACATATTCAGGCGATTTGCAAAAAGGTTGGAGCAGGCCTGGGTACTTTGAGACGTATTAAACCCTTTGTTCTAATAACCACCCTTCAAACAATTTATCGAGCTCTGATTCAGCCGTATTTTGATTATTGTTCTCCCATCTGGGGCGTCTGTGATCAAAATTTGAAAAATAAACTCCAAAAATTTCAAAATCGCGCAGCCCGAATCATTGTCGGTGCAAGTTATGAGATTAGATCTGCTGATGTTCTTCAATCTCTTGCTTGGGACAATTTAGAGACAAGACGACGTACAACCAAAGCAATATTAATGTTTAAAGTCTTGAAGGATTACGTAGGGCCTACGTTGAAAGAATCCTTGATAAGACGCAATCATATGCAAACAAATTATGATCTTAGAAATAGTCATACAGA